TGGGTTAAGGAAAATGAAATGGGAAGTGGGGGTATATTTTTGGATGCCATTGCGAAGTTTTAATCATTGAGTAGTCTATCCCAGGGCAAGAGGAGAAAAGGGGTGGGAAAGAAAGAACTACCTACAAAGTAGCTGACTAATCAGGGCCTTTGCAAGAGAGAAAGGGAAAAATATTAAGTATCATAGTAGAGACAAAAAAGGAAGCGTTAGGTGATGGTGGGGGAAAAAAAGTAAAATTGAGCAAACAGGTGAATAAAATTTCCAGTGGACAGTTGAATAAAAGTATTAACCAGAAACAAAGCAAACACGGAACCTCCGGGCAAAATTGTATAGCAAACACCGCTGAATGAGGTGAACGACAGCTTCTTGCTTCCGTTTTCATATGAATAGAGCCTTTCTTCCTTCCCAACCTTTCCCCTCTCCCTCCTTGTTTTTTTGTTTTTTCTTGTTAAATGTCTTCGACTCTCCCACTAAAATTTCTAATTATTAGACACTTGGGCCTAGCTGACCTTTTGAAGCCTAGCTAGTACCGTTGAGCATCATGAATACCCTATCCCAACGAGTGGTCTATGGGGGGCCCGAGGTGGAGCGGTTGGTGTTGGAGGCGTTGTCCTGAGTGGCTTCCTCCTCTCTTGCTGTTGCTTCCACTTCCCCGCCATCTCCTTCTTCTTCCTCTTCCTCTTCGTCGTCATAAACGTAATCTTCTGTCTCATCGTAAACAGAAGGATCTCTCCCCCTGGCTGAACCGGTTTCAGCCTCCCAGTCCTCCAGCTCCCACCTAGTCCCATGCCAGGTGACGACGCTATTGATCTCGTGTGCACTCAGGCCCAACTTGTCAAATGCCCTAAAGAGTCTGTTATGGCCCTTGTATCTGCTGAGCCTCATACGAACATTGTTGTCGGCGTAATCCCAGCCAGGATAGACTTCCTCGAGTTCTTCGGAGGTATGACAGTTATACCATTCTGCGATCTCAGCGCGGATCTCGGGATCGAGGACTTCGTTGACAAATTGATCGAATGAGGTAGGGTCCTTGGGCCCTGGGGAAGGGAAGAGGCATTTATAAAGAATTTGGGGGATTGGCTGCTTCTTCATTGCGATGTATTATACTATCGGGCCGTTAATGGTTTGTTTTCTTATGTATTCGGGTTATCGGAGGTGATGAAGAGAAGGATGATCTCTTATGGAGGGAGAAGAAGCTTTGACTTGTTTTATCTTTTTTGATCTTGTTTTTTATTTTTTATTCTTACGGGAGCTAATAGAGTGATGTGTTAGTGCTATTCCATTTCTAGAGTGGGGGAACAACATAGTATCCATGATTGCTAGGGAAATTTACCGGGACTGCAATACTGGTGTGACACGAACCCCAGATCCACAGAGTGTCAGATGCACTAGGACTGGGGGAAATTCTTGGGTGGCGGAGTTGGGTTGAAAATTTAATGGGGTGTTGTGCTGTGTTTTAGTGGACGAATATACTCGAGCGGGGGGGATGGACAAAGAAAGGTAAGAGGTAAAACGACAGGAGGGTTCCGTTTCCAGCGAAGAGTGAAGTGAAGGAGGGAAGGTGGATTGTGGGAGGAAAAACGAAGGTTTGTAAAGAAAACAAAGACTAGTTTGAATGGTGGATGAATTGAGCTCGGGGGGGAAGGTGGGGTGGAGATGTTGAGGAGGGGGAATAATGAAGGAAAAGAGGAAGCAGATCTATTGGATCGGTTTGCCCGTGTGCAAGGGTCGGCAAGTTCCAACCCCCCCCCACATCCATGCCAAGCCGGTAGCTTTCCCCGATGACAATGCATCATGTCATTGGCGGTGCCTTCAACGGAGGGATGATCATGAATATTTTATACAGGTATGATAGGAATGTTTAGCAGCGGTTTGCAGGGTTTTCTTTTCTGAGCAAACCCTAGGGAGATGTGAAATCCGTCCAATACGGGTATGATACAATTTGCTTTGAAGTAACTTCTTCAGACTGCGGTGTTATAGAGCGTGCTGTGGGAATGGTTGACTACTCGAATAAAAGTGATCACAAACATTACCCTATGCGGTCGATTGACCTCGCTTTCCCCGAGAAAGACGCTTGTGACATTGAAGGATACCTGAAAAGCAGTACAGTACTCGAGCAATTTGGAGGGAATCTTAACCTACCAGCGTAGTGTGTTGAGATGGGAAACGCCCACGGAATTCCAATAACTCGCTACCTAGCGAACTTATTGTGGTGCAGGTACGAAAACGTATCAGATCTTCACTCAAGGATTGGGTGCGCCGTAAATTTTATCACTTTTTTGCTTGCTGTAAATCCCGAAGGGTGGAAAGTCTAGCGTATGGCATCATATATTTCCCGGCACAACGGTTGATCAAGAGAGGATTCATTGGTTGCTCTGCCACCCAAGCCAAGCTTTTACTTCACAAGAACCTATGCCAGATGCGGCTTATCCTGTGTTGCTCCTGGCTGCAGCGTTAGCGAGGATCTAAGGTTTGGTTGGAGCCTCAATCTGAAACTTTACTTTGACCTCATCTTAATACCCGGCTCCAAGAGCCTCAGTTCTGTTGCTTTAATATTCGATGAGTTCGGTGGGAAGTTCATAATGGTGAGTATTCCAACTAAGTGCATTTTCTGTGAGATGTGCTTACAGAAGATGTTTTCATAGTCCACTTTCAAAGGAATAGTTACGGGTATATTTTTCTCCTATTTGTCCTTCAATGATCAAGCTAATAATCTTTACTTACAGAGTTTCCGGATATAAGAAGTACGATATTATGTCTATCCATTTCCACTGTCTCCCCTTTCAGAACTGACTCCAATATCCTCAGTTGATTATTTTCGTCAGAGTAATGACTCGGGGGCGCGCCCGGCTCTAGCCTGCTTTCTGACACATATCCATAGGTTTGTGAATTAAAGCAAGCTAAAAGTCATAGAAGTGCTCTAATAGGTCTTCCATCTCTTAGCGATCATCTGCAAGGCTTGGAAGGGTTCTACGGTGGCCCTTTCATCTATTGCTCGGCGGCTACTAAGGAGGTAAGTTAGGGCAGTAGATGCAGCTAACCATCAAATATACGAGTACTTATGCGCTAGCCGTAGCTGTTGATAAAACTGGAGAGACGATTACACCGTTTTAATCTCGCAAAAGGCGTACTTGAAGCACGGCGATGCCTTTACGCCGAGAAAGAGAAGAAGCTTGTGAGTATGAGTCATAAAGTTTGGCAAATTGCATACTGATACGGGTGCTAGAAAGTCATCCCACTAGAAACCCCGACAATGGTTGAGATAGGAAGTGGAAAGAGTTTACGTGTGACTCTGTTCGATGTGAGATGCTTTGGGTGCTGTGTCGGGTAAAGCTAAAACGGTCTAGGCGAACCATTGCCCTGGCGCCGTAATGTTTTTAATAGAAGGCGATGGCAAAGCGATTCTGTACACTGGTGACATACGAGGTGAGCCGTAACCAATTTGGGGGAAAGTGGGTTTCTGACTATTCAGTGGACAGCTGAGAAATGGTGGGTCGACTATCTCAAGAGACACCCCGTCCTGGTTCCGTACGCGATGGGCTTGAAAACTCTGGATAAAATATACCTAGATACCTCATTCGCTGGTAGAAGCAAGATCCATGAAGTGTTCCGCTCCAAGCAAGATGGGATTCACGAGCTTCTCAGCCAAGTCCGAAAGTACCCCCAAGATACGATATTCCATCTGAATGCATGGACATTTGGCTACGAAGAAGCCTGGGTGGCCTTGGCTTCAGCGTTTGATTCTAAAGTATGATTTGCCGGCAAGTCTAGAGCAGTGCTAATGGATCAGATACATCTTAGTGACTACTATCGCCGGCTCTTTCACTTTATAAGGAGTCCTGACAAATACGTTAATGGTCCGTTCCTTAGTGGTTTCGAATTTGGCAACTCGAAAGTTCTTGGGTGCACCACTTCAAATACGGAAGCTCGATTTCATTCGTGCGAAAAGAGGATTGGATGCAAGGGCCTTGAAGGAAGGAAGAACATTGTTTGGATCAGCCCAGTCATTACAAGAGTGGGGTCATATGATGTTCACGAACCTGGCGTCGGGAGTGGTGATTGTAGGGCCGCCCCAAAACCCGCTTTGTAGATCTGAGTAATTGACATCATTTCAGTAGAAAACCAGGATGATCTAGAACTACGGGATGAGCACTTGAAACAGATCCTCGAGATCCTGGGGCCAGATGTTCCGGAGAGCGTTAGGGATCTTTTGAAGGAGGCAAGGACATCCATGAAACAATTGCTCCCGCTGTCTCTCCAGAGAGGTTCCGAGGAGGATGACCTGACAGCACCCAAACTCCTAGGGCTGCTATCCGAAGCAGCGGGTATATCGAGTCAGCGAAAGAGCCAGGAGACCGACTCTCAGATCCTCATTCCTACTCCCATAAGTAACGATGAGGAAGGGGTAGTTGCAGAGAACGGAGAGATCCTCCCGAATGTGATCACCTTCCCCTTTTCACGCCACTCTTCGTACTCAGAGCTACGCGGTTTAGTATCTGCTTTCAGACCAAGGGATATATACCCTTGTGTTGTCAATGAAGCGGCCTGGGATGAAGAGAAGAGTGTGGAGACATTATTCGGCGATTTATGCACCGGTGGCGAGTTCACTCACGATAATGACATGCGACGGCGTCTGGAGGAAGAGCACATGGCGCAAGAACAGCTAGAGGAAGAACGGCTCGAGAGAGAGTTATTGGAGTCCCAGAGAAATCTGGATAGGGGTCAACTCGAGCGCATCGAGATAAACTTTCCGCAATGTCGACCCGAAGAAAGAGCAACAGAAGGCTCTAAGGACACCGAAGACCAACGATGGATACAAGCAAGAGCAATGGCCTCGTCTACAGCAAGCAATACACCCACCACCTCCCCAGCAGCCTCACCGAAAAGGCCAGAGAGAGCACGAAACGTCACACCCGTAGCTCCGGTTGTGTCCCCGCCGCTCGACAGTCCACCCCCCAAACAGGTCAAGCGTGAACCACATACATCGCCATCATCATCACCGCCTACTGGGTCGGCAAAGAGGATTAAAATTCAAAACTCGCTACATGGGACAGTTTCAAGCCCCCGGCGTCCCGGCAAGGGGGTACGCATGAGCAGCGTTGAGCGCGAATTCGGTGATAGCGAGAAGTTTTGGGAGGGTGTTGAGGCTGCACTTGGGATCGGGGGAACGTGGTGGGACGTGGAGCTTTCTTGTACTATGCAAGAGTGGAGGTATGAGGAGGAGGTGGAATTGTAATTTTTTTCCTTTTCTTTTGTGTGGGGTCAAGGAGGGTATCATAGAGGTGCGGTTTTGCGAATTGGAATATCCCATATTTTGTAAGTGAGTCCGCGGGAGTTGGGGATTGTGATTTCGATGGCTCCTTTTACTCTAGTCATTTATCCACATAGTGAAAGTAGACGCTTTAAACCCCCGAATGTTTTCTATTGGGGAAAATTATAGGGGAAAGACTGGTGATAAAAAGCTAACTAGTCAGTAAATTCAGGATACTAGGATGCTGACACTGACAAAAAGCGAGTTTTTAGGAACAGGACACGCTCAGCTGACAGCTCACCGTCCCAAGTTGTACGAACATTACAGCAGTAGATGGGGATGTGAGAAGGATGGACTTGGAAGTTACTTAAATAATAATATGCAAATACTTGGCCCACAATGATTATGAACAACGAAGTAACTCACAACCACTGATAACGGTCATATAAATCTTACAAGTTTAGTATTCTTATAGTAAAAATATTAGGCTAGTAGATTTCTATGGGCCAGAGTTTATAAGAAGCCTAATTTAAGCTATAGGGTTTACAAGCAGAGTGATACTTGTATTCATATAAGCCTTATCTTTAAATATGATTCAGTTAAGGATTCAGAGTCAGCTTATCCTAATGGGTATTATTTGAGAAAAAATGTCATACATGTGACTCATGAGAGCCTTACCTAGAGTCAGTGATTTCCTATAAAGTAAGTAGGTCCAAGTTTGCCCAAGGGTGATATTATGTTGGTTTCTTTTTACTAATCTTGACTCTTCCGTTCCTTTCTAAACCTTTAGCTGTTATAACGGCGGGTTCCTCTGCTCCTTGGTTGTGACTAGCATTGAAGTGGGGGCGTTGTATAGTTTAAGGATCGGGCAGCATATCAGGAAGATTGAATGCAGAGGATACTACGGAGGAAGAGCAAAGTTGCGCATGGGGTAATGGAGGTAACAGCCGGGATTCATAACTCCATTAACCTATTTACTCACGAGAGTGACTATCAATTGCCGGCTAAACATAGGAGGAAAGCGTCCGGCAGGGGTAAATATTCACCAAAAGCAAAGAAGGCTCGTGCTACTACAAGGAAGGAGGAGAGCCGGATGGAAAAGCAGAATGTAGTGGCTGAGAGAAATCCGTGAGGGGAAGTTTAGACAACGGGCTGCAGGCCTGATGAGAAATGTAGGATCAAATAATCGGCTTTAACCAATTTCTTTTTCACACTTAATGAGATTGAGGTACTGTCGTTACCTTTCGTACTATCATAGCCTATAATTATATCACTTCTTTTCGTTTTCATTTTTTCTCTTTTTTCGTTAAATTTTATTATAATATCAGTCCTTGTTTTGTTCCCCCCACCATAACCATACCACTCCTCTCTTTTCTGTCTTTTGATATAATTATTACACTCCCTTCCTTTCCTTCTTTTCCTTCATATCCCTACTCCTTTCTCTTCCTTCTTTTATGATTATATACTTGTCTTTTGTTGTATTATATACTGGTGCTGTATCATAATCGTTGTATCTTCCTGTGATAGCACTGGATTGGATGTTCCCGTTTTGCTATCTTGAGAACCTACTTCACTGCATTTCAAATTTGTTATTTGGTACTAGTACTAGTATAGGGATTGATGATCGGCACAAGGTTCATAGAAAATAGTTAGATGCTGTATTGCGCACCGTGAATTTAGGTAATAGGTGGAGAATCTGGAGCAATGCCTCCCGTTATACAAAGAAACCCGAATGTTCGTATGCTAACCAGTAGATACAGAGTGCTGTGTGAGAGTGTATATAATCCGCAACGTTGGATCAGCAAATGTGCTGATTCCCAAAGCTCCATCAAATTAACTTCCACGTTTTATTGACATGTACTAATACAGCCGATAGGCATGGCTCTCTCTCATCATCAATCCTTGACTTTGCCACTAACCACCCCAACTAGAAACCCCTGCCTACAGAAACACGACTCCTCTGAACAAATGTCCGGACCTCCGAGAAGAGTAAAACATCAATCAATCACGAAAAAGAAAAAGGAAATGAAAGGAAAAAGCTGTAGAATCCGTTTTACCCCATGCAAAAACAAAAAACTTGAAGCAAAAAAGGAAAACTTTTTAAAAAAAGCCATTTCATGTAAGAATTATTTTCGGAATCAGAAATCTAGCCCCCTTATTAAGAATTCCTCGGGGGGTCTCTAGGGGATCTGGTATCTATTAGTTTCAGTTCGAAAAGGAGCCATAAACCAGGGATCTGAACTTACGTTGGTGAATAGCTTGGCCCGGGGCTTGTCGGCGACCACCTCGGACTCCCCTGAGTGGGACTCTGGAAGGTTGGACTTGTCGGGCTATAGCTAGCAGCGGGACTGCCAGGAGAATAGACAGGGCTTGTAGGACTATAGTTGGGACTGGTCGGCGAAGTTGGAGAATGACTGTTACCAACCCCACCACTGAAGGCAGGGCTAGTAGGGGAGTAGTCAGGGCTGGTCGGGGAGTATGCAGGGCTTGTGGGGGAGTAGTTAGGACTGGTTGGACTGTATGTTGGGCTTGTTGGGCTGAAGCTAGGACTTGTTGGCGAATAGTTAGGAGAGGTTGGGGATCCACCAACACCAAGGCCACCTCCGTAAGCTGGGGATGTCGGTGAGTATCCAGGGGACGTTGGGCTGTAGGCAGGACTGGCGGGCGAAAATCTGGGGGACGCTGCACTGAATCCCGGGCTCGTAATAGCCATGTTAGGCGATGTAGGCGAATATGCAGGCGAAGCGGGGGAGTAGCCCGGAGAGGTTGGACTTGTGCCAAAAGGGCTCGTTGGTGAATATGTTAGAGGACTCCTGGCACCCGCACCACCGTAGCTTGATCCGAACCCAGGGGCTTGGTAGTCGGTCAATCCACCTGGCGTCTCCGAGCCAGTATGTTGCATAGGCGAGAACGCGGCACCGGCATCGGGTGATCCCACGTAAGGGTCACCATACATTGGTGAGGAACTGTCGTAAGGAGTTGCGGCGCCGTCCGCGAGAACACCCTTGCCCATGCCTGGTATTTCTCCACCGGTAACGCGTGAATTGTCAACAATCACCTCGGCCAACATCTTTTCGTCCAAGAAGACGTCGAATTCCCCTGTCCCCAAAGGAGCCAATTGTCCCAACATAACATTTTCAGAGATTCCCCTGCAATCATCCAATTCTCCCGAGGCTGCTGCTTCCAACAAGATTTCCACAGTCTCCTCAAAAGAACACCTCATGAGCGCACCGGTGTCTGCACGATTAATGCCATGGCGAGTGATGGCCATCAGGTGTCCACGCGAAGTCATGACATCGCAAAGAAGCGCAAGATGTCGTTCGTTAACATAAGAACCATCGAAAGCCAACACCTGCCTTAACTCTCGAAGAAGTGCACCTCTAGTAGCCTCGATTCCGAAAACTTGTAAGATTTCCTCGAATGTGTTGGAGTAGGTTCTGGTAGTATCAACCCCTTCAACTTCGAGTACCTGCTTCAGTGCCGTACCAGTGGTATCCAAAACCCACTCCTTGCACTTAGGATCCTCCTTGCTCATTACAAACTTGCCAGTCTCATCAATCCTTGTGCGCTCCTTATCGTTCAAAAACGCCCTCTGAATGCCCTTAACGCCATTGAGGGTTAATTCGTCAAGGATGTGATTCTCTAGACGTTTGAGCATGGTGTCTTCTTCAAGATCACTCTCCTCATCCAAAGATTTGGCTTGGTCCGCATTCTTCATTCGACATCTAATATTTGGAATTTCTGCGTTATCATCACTCATGATAATGGCCATGTCATTGCCATATTCTTCCATCAACTTCATTCCTACCCTCTCAACCGTCAAATCTTTATCAAGCAACTTCTTTCTATCAAAGATAATTCGAAGAAGCCATTTGGACTGCCTGTCGATATCCTCAGAGTCTGTGTCAATCAAGAAGTGTGACAAAACAGTCTCCTTATCCTCTTCTATGACAGTATCCCTCGGATCAGGGTCGTACCAAATCTCAGTGGTCTCAGTGACTGACCGTAAGGTTGTATGTTCGACCGCTGAACGAAGTGCTTTCGCAGTTTCCTTCTCGTGGGTATTTTCTGGAACCTGGTAAACCATCATAGAGGGAGTCTTGATGTTCTTGGCAACGTTGAGAATTTCCTTTAACCGAGGAACACCAAGAGTGACATTCTTAGACGACACACCAGCGAAATGGAAAGTATTCAACGTCATCTGAGTAGCCGGCTCACCAATGGACTGCGCAGCGAGGACCCCAACCATTTCGCCAGGTTGCACTGCGGCTCGAGCGAACCGAGACTCAATTTCCCCGAGGACCCAATCAAACGCAACTTTAGAGAGATTACACTCAATGACCAACCTCCTGAACGCAAGGCGAGATCGAAGATGGCACATGAAAAGCCCAGTGGCATTTTGCTGAGCCTCGATAGAATGAGGATCATTGCCACGAACAACAACGAGCTTCTTCACAAGTTCTTTGACTTTTTCAGTGACTTCAAGAGGATGAAGATTACTCCGAGCGCGATGCTTGATACGGAAAATAGTGCGGGCGTTCTCCAAGATGCGAAGGATATTGATGGGTAATTGTAGCTTCTCGTCGACGCTGTCTTTCTGAAGTGACCTCAAGAATGCCCGATCCTTCTGGAGCTGCTCAAATTCTTCGTCCAAAGCAGCCTGCACCTCTACATCACCAGCAATGTCCTGTGCAACCTCGAGAAACTCGAGGGGGATCGACCTCACTGGATCCATAACATCAACTCTAACCTTATCTTCAAACTCCGCGTCCGAACATGCGATAATGTCGACGGTTTGTGGTTCGATGTACATTCCGTCAAGGCCATCTTCACCATAAATGAACTGGATGATATCCCCAAGGGAATTTCTCACGGTACCGTCATATTTGGCCATGACGTCTTCCAACGCTTTAACCAACCGTCTCTGAATGTAACCAGTCTCGGCAGTCTTGACAGCTGTATCAATCAAACCTTCTCTACCAGCCATGGCATGGAAAAAGAACTCTTGAGGGGTAAGGCCACGAAGATAGGAATTCTCCACGAATCCGCGGGATTCAGGACTATAATCATCTTTTGTGAAATGGGGCAAGGTGCGGTATTTGAACCCGAAGGGAATACGCTTCCCCTCAACCGATTGTTGGCCTACGACCGCTGTCATCTGAGAGATGTTGATGTTAGAACCCTTTGAACCAGATCGAGCCATCTGAATTGCATTGTTGCTGTCCTTCAAACTCTTCTCAGTGTCAGAACCTGCCTTATCGCGGGCAGAGTTAAGCGATTTCTGGACCAAGTTCTCGAAAGTATCACGGATATTCATTCCCGGTAGGGGTTCGAGCTCGTTGCGCTGAGCTTTATCAGTAACTGCATTGACCTCGTCTTTTTTCTCTTTGACAGTCGCTGCAATCTTCTCGATAGTTAACTTATCCGGAATGGTATCCCCAATACCAATACTAAAGCCGTTATGGAGCAGCCAGTAATTGACAATTGTCTGACAACCATTGAAGAATTCTAAGCATCGGTAGGCACCCTTCTCGTTGTATATGATATGAATCAAACTCAAATGAGACTGTCCGACCGCCTTTTTGTTAAGAAGCCCAAACATCAGCTCACCGCCATGAACTAGTAAGCCCTCGTCGTTTAACGGAGACCACTTCCCCCCTGCGAGATCAACCTTATTTATCCCAGGAGGAATAACTAAACTAATCATTTGCTTCCCAGTCCAACGAGGTCGAGGTTTCAAGATTGCAGGCGTAGGTATTGTTCCATCCCAATTGGGTACCCACATGAGAATATTCATAACTTGTTCACGATTGAGAAATACATCTCTTCGGCACATTTTGTAGATACCGCAGAGAGTGTCTTGGACAATGCCCATGAGAGGTCCATTCTTCTGAGGCGACACGACATTCAAAGGCACCATACAGAGTTGGCTAACTTCAGCACGTGTTTCTTCGGATTGGGGAACATGAAGATTCATTTCATCGCCGTCGAAATCGGCGTTGTAAGGGGAGGTAACCGACAAGTTGAGTCGGAACGTTGAGTAAGGCATGACACGAACGCGGTGACCTGTAGGTATGAACGGTAAGCAAATATTTTAGTCGAACACGATCTAGAAAACATACCCATCATAGACTCCTTATGTAGAGACGGCTGACGATTAAAGATAATAAAATCCCCATCGACAATGTGCCGCTCAACCCTCCAACCATACTGCAGTGTGATATCCCCCGCGCGTTTATGATGTCTCAAATCGATTCGCTCACCGTTATCCCGAATAACGTATTTTGCACCTGGATGCTCATTCGGCCCATTCTTCACCAATTCGTGTAACTTATGAATGTTGTAAGGCGTGACAATCTCTGGGTAAGTCAACGTCCGGGCAATACTCCTTGGAACACCAACTTCATCCAGCGATAAGTTTGGGTCTCCCGTGATAACAGTACGTGCCGAAAAATCGACACGCTTCCCCATCAAATTACCACGAAGACGACCTTCTTTTCCCTTTAGACGAGCGCGAATCGACTTAACGGGTCTGCCAGATTTCTGCAGAGCCTGTGGCTGACCAGCGATATCATTGTCCATATATGTGGCGACATGGAATTGCAGTAGTGCCTCGAATTCATTCACGACATGAGCAGGTGACCCATTTTGCTCAGCATCGCGAACGCTTGCATTCGCCCGAATTATCTCAGCAAGTTTGTAAGTCAAATCGTCCTCTCCACGCATGCCGCCGCCCATACCGTCAACGCAGATACTAGGTCGCACAGGTGGAGGAGGTACTGGCAGAACTGTAATGATCATCCACTCAGGTCTTGCATAATCTTCGCTCAATCCCATCTTGCGGATCTCATCGTTGGAGATATGTTTGAATATATTGAGAACTTCGGCAGGTGTAATGTGACGCTTCTCAGGTTGCTGACTCTCTTCACCTTGATCCTTATCCGGCTTCCATGTACCTATCAATCGTAGACCCTCACGGCGAATGGTTGGTTGCTTGTTTCCACACCCACCATGAGACTTTGGCTTTTTATCAGAAGGTGCTTCATCAAAACCACCCTCTCCATCTATCGCTGTGTCTGCGTCACAGCTTGTTTTGGCCTTGCAAAGCCTCCAGATCGCATTAAAACGAGCTTTAGGTTCCCGAATCCGACAACAGTCTGCGAATTGAGAGTTGGTCTACCGAGTAGAGCGGTCATTCATTAGCCAAAAAAGTCTAGAAATGATAAAGTCACCTGACCCGCCAAAGTGGGCCTCACTTCATCAAGCTTTATTTTGGCGCAATTGAAGCACACAGTCTCCAGCACTTTCTTGACCTTGTTGATAAATCCTGTAAGAGAAAAAGAAAAGAAAATACAGTCAGCGATATTCACTTCAATACTAATCCACGGCGCAACTCACCAACATGGTAGACTGGTTTCGCCAATTCTATATGCCCAAAATGTCCTGGACATACCGACATTCCTTCGTCGCACTAAGTAATGAATTGTTAGCTTAACTTTAATAGCAAATTACAAGCGTGAAGAACTCACAGTGGCACATTTGAATGAGCGATCGATGGAGCCTAGATGGGGGTCATTCAGACCTTTCTCTCTTGGTCGAAGTTTTGCTTCGTCCTGAGAAACAAAAACAATCACGTAAGTATGTCTTGAATGGCAAAAAACACAGCGAACAATCGCCATACCATTGTCTCTGGGTATTCGATATGGCAGACACTCATGCCCTTGATCTCTTCGGGCGATAGCAAGCCAAACTGGATCTCCTTGATGGTGCGCAAAGGCGCGCTCGAATGTTCGAAAATGAGCGTCATGATTGGTTTTCCACGTTCGTAAAAAGTGGTGGTATAGATTTAGATGAACTGGGAGCAAAAAACAAGAAAGTGTTGTTGCAAACGAGGTAGGAGGTGAAAAAAAGAAAGGCAGAAAGAGGCTGCTGTTTATCGACCTCTTCCCAACGGAGGGAAACAATTGAAAAGAAAATTAAAGCCCTAAAGCCAGCGTGTGTGCCACGCGGTCCTTTTGTAAAATCCTCCTCCCCCTCCGAGCCTTTCCTCCCTAACCCAACCGTCGTCACTCGTAGCCCGTAGCGTAAAATGTGGTGTAGTAATACTGCTGTTGCCGTAGTTTTGCTGCTGCTCCTATAACTATCCACAAGAGCTTCAAGGGAAGGCGATTTGTGGCGATGGGGACAAAGGAGTGACCGGTCGGTCGGAGAGCCACGCCCGTTCACCAACACCCAGAGGAGTCCGATGTGACGTGACAAAGGAAAGAATGAAAAACAGCCGAATGCTTTGTCAAACTAATCGGCAAGGAGATGGATACGCCACAGACAGAACGCAGAGGGCTGTTGTAGTGGTGGGATGATGGGTGGAGAGGGTCGGTAGAGGACAGACTGTTAAAGGGAAGGAGGAAGAACTGAATGCGAGGCGAGAGTCGATGGGAGGCAACCAGCAAAAGACTGCAGCGCTGTGCAGCGCCGGTACTTGTAGCTGGTCCTCGCAGCAACGAGCAACCAGGCAAAAAACCCTTAAGGCTTGGCGCTTATATTCCACCTATCTCCGCGAGAGCAAACGCGACTTCCCATAAAAAGAGAGGCTGATTGAGGCTCTTCTAATCGAAGTTCATGCAGATGCCCTCTCATCCTCCACCGGCTCCAAGAGCTCATCACCATCCATCAACACTCTTCAATCCCCCCCTTCCCGCTACTCTAAGATTTCTCACACTTATCTTAACTACCGCTCCAGGGAGCACACGCCTACAACCATACCTTCAACATGAACCTTTCATTACTCGACCCGTTCACCCTTGCCCAGGACTATCCTGAGTCCCTCTCATCGGAGCTCCGATCGGGCCATTCAACTTGTGTTCGTCCCTCTCTACCTTCTTTGGCTAGTTCTTTTGTCTCCCTTTTGAGTCACCTTAAAATCTGGAATATGCGTTTCTAACACGCCTGTTTGTACTACAGGTTCGATTCAACCGTAAAGGAGATCTTATTGCCTCCGGAAGGGTATGACTCCACAACCCCAGACTTCTCATCTCAAATAATCTAATCAAACTTCCCTTGTCTACATAGCTAGATGGCACAGTAGTCCTCTTTGACGTCGAGACAAATGGCCTTGCCCGCTACCTCCGTGGCCATGTTCGCGGAATTCAATCCCTCAGTTGGTCTCAGGACGGCATTTTTCTCGCCAGTGCTTCACAAGATTTCAAAGTAATTATTTGGGATCTTTCAAAACAGGGAGAGGGGGCATCACGAACCATACGTTTTCCTGCTCCGGTCTACTGCGCTGAACTTCACCCGAAAAACCCGTGAGATTTTTTGAGAACCCCCAATTACTTCTCACTCTAACAGCTGTGCCAGGAACATTTTTGTTTGCGCCCTATTCGAAGATTCACCTTACCTTGTAGATATATCCGACCATGTGCCGAGAAAATACCAGCTTACAAGTGCACCCAAGCGACCGCTACAGCCGGGCGCAGAGGAAGGAGAAATTGATGAAAAGCGGGCTGCAGCTGATGCAAAACAAATGACTACCGCATCTGTATTCACTGCTACTGGTGACCATATTATTACTGGATCCAACAAAGGCTGGGTGAATGTGATCTCCACCACAACGAAGGAGATGATTCATTCCACCCGGGTCACCTCTGGCTGTATTACTTACATTAGGCTCACAATGTCTGGTAGAAACATGGTCGTAAATGCTAATGATCGGGTCTTGAGGTCCATCAATATCCCAGATAATCTTAAAGAGGGTGTTGATGGTAACGACGTTCGACTTATCGTAGAGCACAAGTTTCAAGATGTCGTCAACAGGCTGCTATGGAATCACTGCACCTTTTCTGGAAACGGCGACTACCTGACTGCCACAACTTTTAAAAACCATGACATCTACATCTGGGAAAGAAGCATTGGTGTTCTCGTCAAAATCTTAGAAGGCCCAAAAGAAGAACTGGGCACAGTAGAGGTAATTTTCCATTCCCCCCATCCAGCCCAATCCGGGTGATTGCGCCGTCTCACCTTAATCCTAGTGGCATCCAACCCGCCCCCTCATCGCCGCGACTGGTCTCGAGAGCGGCAAAATCTTCATCTGGGCAACATCCAATCCCCAACGCTGGTCAGCCCTAGCCCCGGACTTCCGCGAACTAGAAGAAAATATTGAATACCAAGAACGCGAGGACGAGTTCGATATACATCTAAAATGGGACCTCACGAAACGCAAGCTACATCAGGAAAATGAAATCGTAGACGCGGTGACCATCGAACGGGCGAGAGGTGAAGTCGAAGATGGGTGGAATATGCCAGTCGTGTTGGACCTCGAAGATACCGAGAGCGAGTCCGATTCCCCGCCTCCTTCCGGGCCGGGAGAGCGGAAGAGAAAGAGTCCCGTGCCTTCGAAGGCGAATGGGAATAATGCAGGTGCTAATGGGAATGGCACGGGCACTACGAGGTCGAAGAGACGGAGGGCTGATTAGGACTTCTGTGATCGTTCCATTGGTTTATTTATTTCTTACGGGTTACGGATCATGGACGGAGTTGGTCGGGTTTTGCCTTGCCTTGATCTGTTTGTTTGAAGCTATCTAGGCAATGGGTAGGAGTTTAATCTGGTACTTGCAGTATATGAGCTGGTACAGGTGTTAGCTAAACACTACAGTACAACTCAGCTCTCAACCTTCCTGCACGGCAATCTTACTGATATTATTATACCTTTCGGTTTACGGAACACCTGTACTATATAATGCTCCTGAAGGCTGTCTGCAGCCCATGTGGATATCATGAATATCATAGTACCCGTTCAGGCAACGTCTTACTACCCTTGCTGTAAACCCTAGTCACTCTATCATAGCAATAATATTACCGAGTTAATCTACTAAAAAATCAAACCTCATCATCTAGAACACCACTCCCTCCACTCAAAACACCTCCCTATTAACTAGTGAACCTTTCCCTTGCATATCCCCACTCAACGCTCTATCACGATACCATGCTCCCTCCTGTCTAGATAAAGTGTGAGATAGTGTTCGAACGATACCGTACGCTACCGCACCGTAAAGAATTGACACCGTGCTGTAAACTGCAGCTGGAGGTACTAGCAGCCCTCCGTGTGCGTACCGTATGGGGTTGGAACCCATGATTTCCGAAGCGCACTTTTACGTTGATTTTGTTTCTTAAGTTGGTAACAACGAGTAATTTGGAAAATTAGGGGAGAAATGCAATCATAGGCAGAGAGCTCTGTAGGGTCCAATGAATCCCACATCCTAAGAGTATTGTGTGATAGGCGGTTTCCTGCAGATATTCAGAACAGGTATTTCAATTTCAGTTGACGATATCTCTACTCTGACGGACTAACGGACTGCTGTGGGAAAGGGTTATGCTCCTTTCCCCATGCCCAGGGTTGGCCGAGTAGAATGGTTAAACATTTTAAAAGATGTTCTATTAAGTTTTGATCAGTACTGTACAAAATCTTTAGTAAGTTTTACATATATCAAAATAAATTCAAGGAGTATTTGTTTTGATGTATGATCCCCCATTGTGATAATTTTCAGGGCCCAAGAGCCTATTTCTACATTGCGGATACTCCATAAGCCTGTCCAGCAGCTTCTCTGGTGGCTAACTTCCCTCCCGCTTTCTCCTGCTCCTCATCTCCTATTAATTACCTAACACTTTCCGTCCATACCTTTGTACTAGTGGTTTTTCCTTGCGCCTTATCCCATAATAGCCTACCTAGCATTATCTGCAAAGCAGTAAAATAGCAGACAATTCAAATGCTGCTCAACACGCTCTTCGCCGCTAAGCGGTTCTTTCTAACATAAGTACACAAGAAGTGTAAACTATAGTTGTTAAAAGGGACTCTGAAGGGCGTGAAGAGAAATCATCTAAAGGCGAATAAAGATAACTGTCCAACCAAGTATACCGCTATTTAAGTGCTGTCTAGCGAGGTCTTAAAACAAAACATAAAGCGAGCTAATCTAACTAAGTACCAGCTCCTATTACAACCAGAGTACGGTACAAATGTGCATCGTACTGCATGCTACCAGTATGCTATTGACCAATCATAGTTTCCAGTTATTCCCTACTATGATACTCTTCATTTTATTTATTCTTTGTATTCTTTTTGTTTTTCCTTTCATATTTTTCATTTCCACCTTTCCCCCATGATATGTAGACTAACAAATATGAGAGAAACTCACTAATTCTATAATAATATTATTTGTATAAAAAATTTGGTGAAACTCTTCTTGGTGGGGAATTTTAGGCCCATTTTCTGCCTTATTTTATGCCTACTGGCTGCACTATTATTTGAAACCTTTATTAACTTTCATCTATTGTTTTTTTTTATTGTATTGTCCCAACACTCGTGACAAATGACACGCTCATCCTATTTTTACTCTACTTTTACATCATCGCCTCAGCAGTACTGTACCCACCATTATCGAATAGTATCCGCCCTCAAACCCAATATTTGTCTTGTCCGTTTTTCTCAGTCACCCACCTTCTTCCATCACAAGTCAAGTCCCTTTTCCATTTTTTTCTTAGCCATGTCCATTAACCTCCCTGGCACACCAACAGTTACGCAACCGTACACCAGAAAACCGTATCCCGCACCGAAAAATCCGATACCGGGAAATAGCGTCTTTGGCAATATGACAGAAGCTCACGTTGCAGAAGTGTTGACGCATTGAATTCCCCCCATATAAAAAGGGGGTATAAATGGCCAACCCGCAGATACGGGAGAATTCTCAGACAAAATGCTTAAATATGAGACTTTGGTTAGCATATGAGGAGGAGGGGCCTGTCGGGGAAGAACAAAGTTGGATCTACGACACTCCTATCCGAAAAAATGCCTGGCCGCCAACCGCGCATCAAAGGACCCTAATTGGGGGGGTTCTTTTCCTCCTATGAATCCTCCTCGTTCCTCCTATCATACATCTGCCCTTCAGATCTAGATCCCCTTCGCACTAACATGGCCAAGGACTTCTGGCAAATTCGTAGTAACTGCGCTCCATGTAAGGTTACAGTTCAAACCATGGAATTAACGAGTGACATTCTATGATGCAACATCAAAAAAAAAAAAAAAAACCTCCCGCTTTACCATCCTCCCGTTTGCACTAAGTTAAAGGTAAACGCTGCAGCAATGGAGGGAAAGCCACGAAGTGTGTCCTAGCATCGGTGGGCTCCCTGGGACCCGCGCGCTCAGTGTGTGCATTCCGGCAAAGGGTCCAGCTGGTCAGCGGTTTTTGGAAATGTTTGGGTATAAGTATCATCGTACGCAGAGCGGGAAAGCCTTTCAGAGCACCCTTGACGTTAGGTGGGACCCCAATGACTTGGGGGGGAGTTGAAGATGCAGGGTTTCTTGGGCAATGTTATGCGACGATACTCACGTTTCTAGATTTGAGTACTGTACCCGAGGGGTGTTCATATGATGACAACAAAAGCTATATTATGATCCTATATCTAGCGGGGAAGTGGTGGAATAATTTTCTTTATCTTCTCCCGCGCAAACACCAACTTTGTAAAGCCATCAGGGGTAGGTTAGTCTATCGCATGTCCATAGAACGCGGTGATATAGAAGCCAAGCAGAAAACCTCCCAAATGTCATACCGAAATTGGGGTCGCGTCACAAATAGACCACCAAGGCTGTTGAACAATCCCTAGATTCAGCCTGCCAGATTCAACAGTCTAAATGCAACCCTTCAACATGATAAGACTAACTCCCAAGCCCCCTTTCATCAGCCTTGTTCTTATATGCATTAATACACAAGGCAATATGCAATAACAACCCTAGATGTGTCATTTGCCATTAGGAATCGTTTGGGATAGTGCGAGTCCCCGCAGCGAGCCTTGGCCTTGCAAGCACGGTGCGGTAAGATGTACCCGAGTAGGGCGCTCAATGAGATCGAGAGCATGGGGCCACTAAACGGGGAAGCCATAGAGGCTTAAACGGCGGGGGGATGGTGTACTCGAGGAGAACGATCCCAAAGAGCTAACCTCCCGAACGGAACCTCAATGGATGAAATTGCATGAGCGCGTGGGGCTCTAGGCCCGATTTTAAACGTGCGCGTTCTTGCTTGAGAACGGTACATTGGCCGCACCTGTAGGTATGACATAATACTCGAGTAAAGTGTTTTAACGACAAAATGCTTCAGGCGCTATTATTTGTTGTCCCGTCAGTCAAGTACTCGAGGGTGCTCCTCCTTGCCCTTGGGCTGGGTCGGAAAAAAACCCGAAGTGGCCGCATCAGTTGGAATTTGAGCGCGAATAGGAAGCATACGGTTCGAGTACTCGTACGGTACCGGTACCCGACGATCATAGCCCGGATTTATCCTAGAGGCATCAAATGTCAAGTGCTCCCACTTGATCTGCATTACCCAAAAAGGGCCTCAACAACCCTCTAAGGTGCTACAGTACGAGTACCGTAGCTCAGATAAACTTTCCACCGAGCTTCAACTGAGTTCGCAATTCAGGAACCCTTCACCACCGGTTTGAATCGGCTATCGCTGGTCTTTTTGTAAGCACCTTAGATCTACTCATACGAGTACTAGCAGGACCCTGCTAGACGATCCAAGGGTCGTCTGTGGTGGACCCTGGGACCTAGCTTCGCTCGTCGTGATAGGTGAGGTATGGAAAGTCTCAGGAAAGCGGCCAAGGCCACACCGGGAATTCCTCAAAACGGTTAGCAAACTACCCCAAACACCAAACACCAGAGCACTCGCTCCAAGCTGGTTGCACCGAATACTACAGGTATACAAACACTGTATTCAGCACCAGTTATTCCTGCTTACTTACTTAAATTCCTTATGATACCCAAACATCGAGGAAACATAGAGTTGACAAACATTTTTGTAGCTACCAGTACAGTGCTCGTAGCGTATCCTCCGCCATTTCTCCTTTCATGCCAACCCCTGAGGGAGCGGGAAAGCACATCATGATCATGCTTGCTTCCCGGGAACCTTGGTAGGAGAGGTTGGAACAAGTTTTTCTCCGTGTCTTGGTATGTTTCCTCCACTGGATTGGCAAAATTATTGGCGTTGCCGCCTATTGGGCAAGGGGTAGACTAGAGGGTTTGTCGTGGGGCCCCAAAGTTCCTCCTTGGCATCAGTTATGATGTCATTGCTGCTCAGCCAGGTCCTGGAGCAACCAATACTCTATCACGTTCAAATAGGTCCTCTCCTCGTCACCTCTTGTCTTTGCTCCTTACTCCACAACAATCAATTCACACTATCGATCAATAACCTCAATCCAAACAACTCTTTACAAATCTTCACATTTATCCAACCAACAAGCAAGCATGCCTCGTGGAAACGGTGAACAGACTAAGGTTGTCTACAAGGGCAAGAACGAGGACTTCATTGTCTTTGTCGAGTCGGTGGAAAAGCTCAATAAATGGAGAAAAGATCCCTCGATCCCTCTTCTCGACGTAGTTGATTCGTTCAAGGTGTTCTGTACGCACAAGTATGACCTCTCCTGGTGCCTTTCCCCATCCTCAGAACAGTGCTAACGAATCTTATAGGCACGGGGCACAAGGGATCCTCGACGAGGCTGGAGGCGGCCTCCTAGAAGGCGAATTCGGATCCAAGAAAGAAGACGAAGTGGTTAAGAGGATTCTCCAGGGCGGGACTTTCCAGCGTGGTGTTGTAAGTTATCCCTCTAGCGCCCACATCATCACCACTCCCATTCACTAAGCAACTAACACTCTCTTACAGGTCGAAGAACGCCAAGGAGACAGGAACGTTTCAGATGGACCCATGCAAGTTCAGGGTTATATTTTCTGAATTATTTTTTAGTCTTTTCTCTTCAAGGGGTCTTTGCATATGCAGCCTGTTTCCTTTTTCTCAATCTCTTTCGGTGCGATGCAAGGTGTCGCCTTGATGGACGCATACCGGTAGGATAACTTCTAGGATCCCGAAATTCCGAGGAGCCTGAGATGTCTCTAGAAATGGCTTCCCACTCGCAGTGTGTAAGATAAGCGTCTTGTGCGTTGTGAATCCGCCCAGAAAAAACAATCCATCGGTATGAATCAGTAACAACATGATGGACTAATTCGTGCGTGAATCCTAAGCAGTCGCACAGAATGGTAGCAACGTTTATGAGAGAAGGACCACTGGCACATTCCATCACCAGCCTTACTGATCTCGGTAGCTTTCCAAATGCAGTCGTGAGTCAAGTAAATTTCTGCCAGATGTCTAGGGCATCACCACGTATATGATAGCGCCAAACAAATGGTGGCCCTCATCGGAAAACAAACACAAAAAACTTACCGGGTTCGCGCAATCCTCCCACCGACCCCCGGCCAACCAAACGACTCGGAGACTTCCCTGACCCCGCGGTACGGCAGGTCAACCGATTGGCCATGGCGATTAGCCTAGCTTGGTTCCCGGGCATCCGCCGCTAGCGCTAAGACCTTTGCGTAAGAGATAGATTAAACCCTTCGAGTGAGGGCTCATGACGACCATTCAATCCATCCATCCCATCCCTCCCATCAGATACTGCCATCATGTGGCAACCCACATGTCCACTTTATACCACCGAGCTAATCGCAAGAGGGGGAGGGGAAAAGAAAAATCATCCTCCTGTCACCTCTAATCCCGGAGTCAATCACGTAGCACACCATTTCCACGCACGCTACAATCGAGTTTTGACCCGCCACACACTCTCTCCTCCAAATCCCCCACCACCACCACCCATCAATCTAGCACACCCCACCGCACGATATATCAATTATATCAATTATTGGAAGTTGAGACTCGTCTTATATTATACCCAACTCATCATATCTCACCCCTATTTCACATAATACTATCATATTCCACATTAACGCACCTTCCCAGACACAAACAGCGTACATGCACCGGGTCAATTGATGGGTGGTCATGAGAACGGGTGATGATGACGGTGGCGGCGATAGTGGTGGTGGTGATGATGAGCTGGAAGGTGTGATGGATTGCCAACTAGCTAGAGGTGAGCATGACGATTACCGGTACAGCGCTGTACGCGTGGGAAAGATCTTTGATGGGGGGGGAGTTGACTTTTTGGTGTCCATCGATCGGGGAGACTTTTTTTCTTCTTACCTCTTCCTCACCTTTTTATTTGACGTGATGCGACCCGATATGGAGGGGGAGGTGGAGACACGACAGTGGGTCGGAGGAGAGGTAATTATAGCAGCTGTGGCTTTCACAGTCCGACAGATAAGCTGCCCGGAGGCCGGGAGATACTGTTAGAGGGTTCATGTTTGGTCACTCGGGTGGTGAGTTGAGGAGCCGTATTTGGAGGGGTATATCATAGAGCGGATCAGACCATGATAGATTGACGAAAAGCACAAGTGCGATACCATACCATCCCTTAACCTCTAACAAAATTTCCCCCATCTATCCATATCTTTAGGGGACAAATAGTTCCCTCTCTCTCCCCCCTTAAACACTTTTTCCAAAATCCAACCGGACCAACCAATCATATCTCGAATACCAAATCCGGAACCCCTCGAAGCTCTTTCTCATCCCCCGTCACGAGTTCTTCGCTAACCCACGACAACACACACACACCATCAAACAGCTCCTGTCCCCCATGGGTTCCCAGAATAATTCCTCCTCCTCCTCCTCCTCCTCCTTCACCACCAGAATGGTAGCTTCTTTCCCTCTTTCCTTCTTTTTTCTCTTTTTTTTACGTTCCAGCGTATTGGCCAATGGCCCGCCCAAGCCCGCATATGTAACACATGCAACCCCATCGTCGGCCCTAATCAAAATCGCGTGGTTTTTTTTTTTTTATGGTGGAGGGGTGGGGTACCACTGGGTAGGAGGAAGGAGAGAGAAAAGGAAAGAAGGGGGAAAGAAGGATAACGAGTACCGCAGGAGCTCTAAGGTGAGCTCGGTAGGTGAGCACGTGAGCCTTACTCAACCTGACGGGAGGGAAGGGAGGGGGGTTCTCGGGAGTTTTAAGAATCGGTAGGAGGTGGGGCCCCTGAAGATCTTGGAGGATGGTTTGTGTGATTGTGGAGGAGGTCATCACCGATGAGTTCCATTGGATGAAATACTGGATGGATGGTCGGATATCTCGTTGCTATGATGCTCTACGAGTATGATAGTCATAGCTAGTTAACCGGGCCTATCACATAAACCCGACCCAGCCAGAGAGGAACGAAAAGTACCAGTACATCGAGTGATAAGCAATGACCCCATCCCAACAGAGTAAAACTCCCAAAATAAAACACACGCATGAAACTTCCTCCCGGAGAGGAAGCAAAAAAGAAAAAGAAAACGAAGATATCAAATCAAGGTTTGATCTTTTATCTCCTCACAAAAACTCGAGTGCGATATCCAACAACTATTAAAAGTGAAGAAAAGAAAGAAGGAAAAAAAGAAAAAAAACTCACAATCCCATATGCTCATTCGTTCGCGAAACAATTCCCCACCAATCAACCAACCAACCAAACCAGCTCGTCATCAATAATATAGCATCTGACCCTCCACGATAACCCACAACAAGTAAGTAGTCACAAAACTCTTATCATACCCACCATCCATCCATCACTTCCCACCACGACCACGTCAACAATCATCGCGCGCTCAACGCCCCAATAATCAAAGTAGGGTAGGGTACGGTACCCAACCCGGAAACCCAAATGGGAGAGAAGATGAAGGAAGGAAGGAGAGAAAAGAAAAAGAAAAAGAAAAAAGAAAGAAGAAAGAAAGAAACAAGAAAAAAAACTTCCTTTTCCTTAATACGGACCCTATTTACCTGTCAGCCCCCCGATCTCGATCTTGAGTTAATCTTAATCTCGTCTCTGCATGCATTGCATGGCATACGCCCCACAATCCGAGTGTGGGGGAGGGGAGCGGAGGGGAGCGGTATTACATAAGGATAAGTGGGGCCTTCACGGCGTGGGGTATCATGGATACCGGTACCATACCAGACTCGTACCTCAGGTGTCGGGGAGGAGAAGAAGAAGAGGAGGAAGAAGTAGACTAGTCTAGGGCGAAGCAGGAACGGCGCCAATCGCGGTTAATGGGTTTTTGTAGTGGTACTGTACTACTAGTATTCTATGTAACCGGGAGAGTACGGTACAGTACTCGAGTATTGTGGATTGAATGAAAAGTGCTGTAGACTAATTGTACTCGTGATTCGCCCGAAGTTTGTGAAAACGACCGGGTCCGCATGTCTCCTGCGTTTGGTGGGATGGATGGATGGATCGACGAACGAACGAACGAATTAATGAACGACATTGGTTGGGAAGAGCAGAGCCACAGTCTAAAGTTCCAAAAAAAAAAAAAAAAAAAAAAAAAAAGTTAATTATCGAAAGTGTGTGTGTGTAAACCTTTTATTCTTCCACTATCTCACCTACTAACTAAAGTAATCGGAGTACGGCATGGGATACTGCCCCCAGCCCTGGGCCCCCCTCAACGAAATCCTTCGCTACACTCCCCTGTAGGCCATACAAAAGAAACTTCCACTCCCCCCTTCCCCTTTCCCTCGAACAGCTTTGGTCCACCACAAAAGAAACCCACTCCTGCCCCCTGGCCCCATGGTCATGAACAAAATAAAATCCACCAATAAAGGAAACCCATTCCTACCCCCTTGGCCCTATGGTCATGAACAAAAGAAATCCAACCAAATAAAGGAAACCCATGCCTGCCCCCCGTGCCCCGTGGTCGTGGACAAAGGAAATCCAAGCAAACAAAAGGAACCCACACCTGCCCCCTGTGCCCTGTGGTCGTGTACGTTATGAAATAACAGTCTGACCAGCATTGCTCCCCTGGTCCACTGGGCGCCTCCTCCATGTCTTCCGCCGTTGTAGCCTATCGGCCCTTTCTCGCCGGGTCGTGCTTTCTGGCATACGCTGATTCATGTTGTACGTCCCTTAGCACCATTTCTCCACATATCGTGCAAGGCCGTCGTGGTCTGGGTTTCACCGGTTTCTGTGTTGGTTGGCTTGTGGGCAGGTTAACGTTTGCTCCGATCACCTGGGCAGCGTCTGGTTGCTGGGTGCCTTCCCCGTTCCCGGTCACTTCTGGTTTCCCCTTGAGCTCTTGTGGCTAGTCGTCCATCCATTGAAGGAGTTCTCCTTGCCTTTTGCTATCGTGGAGCCCAATTGTCGTGGTGGTTGTTACCCCGCATCTGTTTGCTAGGTGGTCAAAGGTTATTATGTCCTGGTCGCATGGGCATTGTCTCCTGGCGCCGGTTATCTCCTGGTATGGCCACCCCGCCGTTGCTCTTAACCCCAGCAGCCTTTTGAAATTTTGCCTGGTTATGGAGTGTAGATGCTTGTACGATTTATCGGGTCTTCCTTGGTACCTGATCTCTTCGTTAGTGACCTTTTCTGCCCAGTCTTGTTGCAATTGGCTTTTAAGTGCGTCTTTGCCTAGCTGGTAATTACCGGTGGTGGCGATAATGCCTTCTGCCCCGTGTTTGGTCGTCCACCTCTTTGTCCAAGTGTTGTGGCGGTCTTTGGTGTTGGCTCGTAGCGCCAGCAGGTTTTGTCTGAACTGCATCATGAGGTCCAGTGGTGGGATCCCGAGTTCGGTAAGGAAAGCCAAGACCAGCGTTTTCTTTTCCAGTTCGAATGCGGTTCAGATTATCTTGTTAAGGGCCGCTTGCGCTTCTCTTAACAGCCCTTTGTTTTCCCATGTCTCTATCCCGTATGTCAACTGTGGGATTATTAGGCCTTTGATCAGTCGCAGTGTCGTTCCCGCATTCAGTCACCCTTTGCTGTATCTGGATGTTATTGCCCTTATGCGGTGTCCTGAGCTGGTAGCTTTATTGATCCAGTGTCTGACATGGTGGTCCCATTTCCATTTGTCTGTTAGGAAGTATCCGAGCCATCTTAGGTGTCCCTGACTAGGTACCTCCTTGCCCCATAGGCGGACCTCGAATTTATCCTGCGGTGGTGTCTGTACGAAGATTGTTTGGGTTTTACTAGGTGCGAAC